GAACGGGCGGGCACGTCGACGCGTCGGCTGACCGGCCGAACAATGCCGCTGCTGCGAGCAGGAGCGAGCTTCAGCGGCCGGGGTATTGAGGAGGTAGTGAGGGCGAACAATGCCAATGCTGCGAGCAGGAGCGAGCTTCAGTGACCGGGGTATTGAGGCGGTAGTGAGAGCGAATCGGAGTGATCGAGGTATCGAGTCGGCGAGCAGGAGCGAGCTTCAGCAGCTGGGGTATTGAGGCGGTAGTGAGGGCGAATCGGAGTGGTCGAGGTATCGAGTCGGCGAGCAGGAGCGAGCTTCAGTGGCCGGGATATTGAGGAGGTATTGAGAGCAAACCGGGGTGATCGAGGTATCGAGTTGGCGGATAGGAGCGAATGAGAACGATACTGAGAGAGATACTGAGTCACCGGCGCGACTCTGTGCGAGCCATAGGAGTGACGCAGAAATTCCGAGGATGAGCCAGGGCGAACCACGGGATCCAGTGAAGTCCTGGCACAGAAGCGAGACTGAGCGGGCAGAGAACGGTCCGGGACTAGCCGTACGAGGGGCCTGGATTGAAGCATGGGGCTACCCAGAAACAGGGAGGCAAAGAAGGCAGGGGGACCCATGAAACGAGGCGACAGAACGAGACCAAGCGAGAGAGCGAAGGGAAGCCTGAAACATTGTGAGCCGCTGGCTGCTGGCGTATAAATGTATTAATTACCAGAGAGCCATCATCCTGCCACTTCTCGTGAAAGCTTCAGCTGAGAAAGAACCGACTTCAAAGTAGGTTTTGTCCTTCCATTCTTCGTGGGACTCTCGCGTTCTCATCTGGATATCCTCGGACCTGACTGGACCACACGCAGGCAGGGGCCGCCACCAGCCGCGCCGTGTTGGCCGTCGCCAGCCGCGCCGTGTTCGCCGCCGCCCAGCTGGCGGCGGCGGTGGGCGGCCGCGTCGCTCTCCCGTCGAGTAAACGATGGTGCACCGAGCCGGTGCAGCCGAGTGCTTTTGCGGCCGTTGCTCCAAGCGTCGCGTCTCGGACGCTGCAGGGTAGCGTGGTCGGAATGGTAGGCTGCTAATGGAGCCGGCTCGGGCGCAGTCAGGCGGACGACGAGAGGCAGCTCGGCCGCGGCGAATGAGAAGTTCGTAGATCAAAAGGTGCGTCGCTGGGGAATGAGCTCCCAAACGTGATCAAGCCTATCCAGTTGTCAGGAAGGGAGCAAGTCCGCCCAAATGCTTGTGGGGGCTTTCCAACCCCCACAAGCCTGCGTCCACCTCCTTATTCCAGCTGACCAACATTCCGACATCTTAAAGCAGCCAGGCCTGCTGCTCGTCATACCCAAACTGAGCCGTCGCGCTAGTGTCGGCACCCCCGTCTGTTTGCTGTTCCGTCGGGACTTGCGATGAATGAACTGCCTCGTCTCAGGAGGTGGTCCCTGACAACCCAACCGCCGGGTTGCCAGGGACCACCTCCTGGCAACCTGGTGGCGGAATCGGGCTCGGCCCTGGCTCCGTGTCTCGGGTATCGGGACCGGCTCCGACTCCGGCTCCGACTCCGTGTCCCCGGGATCGGGCTCGGTCCTGGCTCCGTGTCTCGGAGATCGGGACCGGCTCCGGCTCCGACTCCGACTCCGTGTCTCCGGGATCGGGCTCGGTCCCGGCTCCGTGTCTCGGAGATCGGGACCGGCTCCGGCTCCGACTCCGTGTCTCCGGGATTGGGCTCCGCCCTGGGTCCGTGGCGGGCGGTCTCGCGGGCAGGCTGGACGCCTTAGCCGAGGATTACGCTGGTTTTCGTCGCGGGAGGCCTGGCCATTAATTCCGTCAGCTCACGCGTCGCTACCAGCTCTGATAATTTACACGGACTTAGCAGCGTGGGGCCGCACACGGTTCTGCCCGTCGGCCGTCAGACAGGGCCGTCGAGTCCCGCGGGACGGACGTGTTCTGCACCGCGCCGGGGGTCCCGAGAGCTCGTCTGCGGCAGACCAGACACGCGTCGTGTGGGGCGGCGAGAGCGGCGGCGAGCGTCACGGAGGCGGAGAGAGCGGCGGCGAGCGTCACGGAGGCGGAGAGAGCGGCGGCGAGCGTCACGGAGGCGGAGAGAGCGGCGGCGAGCGTCACGGAGGCGGAGAGAGCGGCGGCGAGCGTCACGGAGGCGGAGAGAGCGGCGGCGAGCGTCACGGAGGCGGCGAGAGCGGCGGCGAGCGTCACGGAGGCGGAGAGAGCGGGCGGCGAGCGTCACGGAGGCGGAGAGAGCGGCGGCGAGCGTCACGAGGCGGAGAGAGCGGCGGCGAGCGTCACGGAGGCGGAGGAGAGCGGCGGCGAGCGTCACGGAGGCGGAGAGAGCGGCGGCGAGCGTCACGGAGGCGGAGAGAGCGGCGGCGAGCGTCACGGAGGCGGAGAGAGCGGTGGCGAGCGTCACGGAGGCGGAGAGAGCGGCGGCGAGCGTCACGGAGGCGGAGAGAGCGGCGGCGAGCGTCACGGAGGCGGAGAGAGCGGCGGCGAGCGTCACGGAGGCGGAGAGAGCGGCGGCGGGAGCGCCCGCGACTGGGGCACCGTCGGCGGGGGAGGGGACGTCGGACGGAACACGGCCTACATCCGGCGCGCGCGGCGCGCCCGCGGCCCGCGCCGTCGGCCGCCGATGACGGCTCACGATGGATCGGGGACGTCATCGACGGCTCCGACGCGCCGGACCGGGGCCAGCTGCGGCCGCGGGGAAGGGGCGCCGGCGCTGGGACACCACCGGCCCATTGACCGCGCCGGTGAAAGACGAGGTGTCCATGTCGGCGAGCGGCCTGACCGCATGTGGTCGGCCGGAAGTGATGATGTTACGGGCGTCAGGCGACGCTAGATTGGTTCTCCCCCGGTGGAGCTGGCGGGACTGACGGGTTCCTGTTTTTCTTCTGTGGATGGGATTGTACAACGATGTCTTTGAGATCGGCGTAGATCTTGATCTACATTAGATTCTCGATCCGAGAAATGAGTAAACTGGTGCATGTAAGTGCATGGAGCGCTTCAAAATATTGTTCTCTCCCCTAGAAGTTAAGCCTTTTCATGTTTTCATGGTATTCCCTTGTTCCTACGCTTGCCTGTGATGTTTTTGTAGCATCTGTTCATTGCCACATAGACTCTTTGATAGCGAAATGTCATGAATTCGGGTAGTGGGGGGCGATGTGAGCACCATAACCACTACGTTCATCCTTTTACACAAGTCATCAGTGCCGGCTGACGGGATGGGTGTAGATAGGAGGCACGCTAAGTACCCTGGACCGTCGACAGCGCTCGAGACATTCAAACGTATATTTGATATGCAGCATGACCGTCCAAGCGCACCCAGCCATCACTTGCCGCTTAAAACCATGATCGGTCAAGGCCATCGTTTCAGCCATCGTTTCAGTCATCGTTTTAGCCATCGTCCAGAGTCACCTGAAACAGGAGTCGTATATATGTTATTGTGTACTCAGGTAATTTTTTAAGATTGTTTATGTCACTTCAGGGTGGCTCTCAGCTGTGAATTTGAACAAAGTTTGATAATTTGCTATTAGTCAACGGCGTGCGATGATCCCGTACTTCTGATTGTGACTGACTCAAGCGTGCTGAAATGCTAGTACTGCCGTGCCCCATTTTCGAGGACGTGAACAAACGGGTCGTGTCTTTGTTGGCAAGTAAAACTTGTTTTTATTCTCTTTTACTTTTCTGCTCAGCATGCAAAGCCGATGATTTTGAAGGACAGCTACTGGATGATGACACATGAATAAATGTTTAGATAACCTGAACAATGAGCACTGAAGGCCGAAGTGCTCACGCATTTGAAGTACCTCTGCGTTGTCAGGTTACGTCAGATTCATCTTTCAGTAATTTAGGCTCCTGCATGTGCCAACGGAATCTGGGCACTCGCTGCGCAAAGTTCTTTAGCTTGACGCTTGCATAACGTCGCGACTTTTCCATAGTTTGGGCGTCGCTGACAGGCGCAAGGTCATCGGTTCCTTTTAAGATCGCCTAGCCTTGTGACATTGAAGCTTGTAAATATTGAAGCTTGTAATGTTTTGTTATAAGGATTGATTGCGTACACCAAGGCCTTTGATTTGTGAGGTTCTTTTGCCACGGATGACACCGCAGCGGTTATGGGTACAGACACAACGGCGTGAATAACGACGAATAAACCATTTTGCCACGGTCTATGCTATGTGGTCGGCAGGGGATGAACACAGCTGGAAACAATAGTGGCAATGTCTTTGGGAGTAAAAGATCTCGGACATGATGAAATAAATCCGCGAACGACTCATAACCGGAGCCAGCCAAAGCCTATGGGCTCTGCCACCTCTCCGACCTTTCCACATCTATGTATTGCCCCTATGGTGTATGAAAAGACCGTGCAAAATATGTATGCCTCTCAACTTTTCACACGCAGCGGACCAGTGCCAAAGCCGCCAGCTCGTGGTCAAAAAAGGCCAAAAAGTTGACCCCCAGGAGATGGCCAGGATGACTGGAAGCGATCCTCAAAACGAACCTGTGAGTCTTGGGGACAAACCGCGGTGGTCGACCGCCTCAACGCATTGAAGACAGCACTGCGTGACCGTCGCCCAAACAGAGCGAAGGTCTGGCGGCCGCTCGTCGGGCAGACAGATAGTGGCGAAGCTGTTCAATCGCCGGAGGAATAGGAGAGAGTGTGTGTGTGGGGGGGGGGGGGGGACGGACCATCCGCGGCGGAGCGACGAGCGAGGAACCGCGTCAGAACGTCGGAGACCAGCGGAGCGAGACGCGGATGGCTCGTCGGTCGGACAGGAGGACGAAACCGTATCAGGCCGTGAAAGAAGAGAGCGCCACCACGGGCATGACTCAATCGTTCTCAGTCGGCCACTGGAGGGGGACCGCGTATAGCCGCGCGGCGGCCCCCGTGCCTGTCGAGACGGGAGGGCGGCGGCCGGCTATTTCGGGCCTCCGCCGGCCATGTGCCGCCGCCCGACGGCACCGACGCGCCCAGCGTGGCCCGGCGCTGCGCCGCCCTCAGTCGCACCCTTGCCCGTCACGTGACCCGCCAGCTGCGCGGCGCGGTGCCCTGTGGACGCGTGTGAAACAGAGAACGCACGTGGCCCCACGGGACGCAGCTGGTTCAGGTAGGCGAATCCGCACACTGCTCTCGTGGGACTCAAGTTGAGTGGATATAATTGCCGCGTTTCTGCGTTGGAATTCCCAGGCCTCGTCGAATGACGCACGGTGTCGGAAACTTGGCACTGTGCATTACGTGTAATTACCTTCCCACCGGCAGCTAAAAATTATGATACCTCCCACCGCCATGTTCGCAGTTTGTCTGGTGGGACCGTGTCACCTAAAATGTGCGGCCTTTATATGATTAAAGGTCGCGGTCCTGGTGCGGCTGGACTCTTCGGGAATCCTTTCCTTCTGTTCACAAAGTACACAGTCTAGTACAGTTCTATAGCCGCTTCAACTGGTAATGAAACGTCCCCGAGGGAAATGTCGGTGTATGGGCTATAAAACTTCCGCTGTAAAAGTGTAGCTTGGAGATGGAAACAAACTACGTTGGTTTTAAAGTTTAACTTCTTTTCTCTTTTTAATGCTTACCAGCCTCCCTGCCCCTGACATTTTAATTTGTTTTAAAAATGCCTGGGTCCGCCAAAAAGTTATCAAAAATGGTCAGCTGCTCGTTTTTCTTACGCGAACATCCATCTCCCATCGCAATCACATTCTCATCCGGCTTTCTGCCCCCGCCCCGCTTCTACACGCGGCACCCAGTGACAAACCCCCGAAAACCACCGACGAAGCCCCCTCAGCCGTCTCTCCGGGGCCGGCGGCGGCGTTCGTTGTCGTCTGTCGTGACCGCAGCCGGCGCGCGAGCCGTGGCATGTTTGACACCGCTCGGCCGGCGGCTGGGCTGCGGCAGCGACCGGCCACGGACGCTTGGCGGCGGTAAGGTGACACCGACACGCGAGCGGACCACCGCGCCGCGCCGCGCCGAGGCCGGACCAGCCGGCGTCCGGCAGCCGGACGCGGCCGGACAGCGGCGAGGGCGAGCCCCAGGTGGAGCCGCGGGCAGACAGACAGCGCGCCCCGAGCCGGAGGCCCGGCGTACTCTGGCTCAGCCACACGTTCAGGCGGATGCACCACGTGTTCTGGATCTCAGCGCGCCGCAGTCATTCGGACAGATGTCGGGCACGTTCTTGGACTTGTCGGAGATGATAGGCAACTGCCGGAAACCGCTGCTACCACCAACGTTACTGCAAACCACAGCTCATTGGTGATGCGTTTACTGAGGTTGTGTGAGAGCCATTTTAGGAAAGTGGGTACATCTAAAGGTTTTCTTGCTTTTTAAGTTCCTTCCGAGTTTCGACTCAAGTGTGAGGAACAGATATAATGGTGACCTGCAGATGCCTGCAAAGCTCATTGCTGTTCCAGCAAAAAATTTGTGTCGACTCACAGAAACGACTGCAATGTACTTGGCGAAAACTTAAAACATGGACGCAATTAAGCTTAATCCCACTGGCTGGCCTCCGTGTGTGTCATCAGGCACTCCTCCAGTCTGTGAGGCAGGAACATGCTGCCGCCGGTGTCGCTGCGGAAACACTGCCGTTATACGGGTCGTGGCACAAGACATGAACTAACTGACTAGCTTATGACCTGGTGGAGTAGGACTGATATGACGCTATTGCGTAAGTAGACGTAGTCATTCTGATGCCTCATTAAGGGTATCGTTCTCTCGAACCTCCCAAAAACGAGTGGTCAAAGGGAGCGGTTGTACCGTAAAAGTTTTGCAAGTACTCTACGACCGGCTGCATTTAACTCTCGACACATATAGTGCTCTCTGTCATGAGCTCCCTTTATGCTGTAATAATCCTGCAAAGCTTCGGCCTAAACGCTGCTCCAAGAAGAGTGAGTACCACTCAGTTGTTGCTTTCATTCTGGCCGCGTTTTAGTCGATAGCGCGGCGGTCGACGGCAAAGTGAGAAAGTTGCGATATGTATGGTGTTTGGGACTTGTTGCTTGCGGTCGAATAGCTGCGGTTTATAATTAAAAGTTGTGGTTCATTACATTAGGTGACATATGCTGTATTGATTCTGATGTGTTTGCACTTTCTGTTATATTTTTGGTGATGTTTATGTAAGTTATCACATTTGCTATCTCACAATTTGTCTTTGTTCTTGAAAGATTCCTCTACTCTCCCATCCGTTTCACTGTTAACAACTTTAAAAACTTTTTTCTACGTTGTCTTATTTTGGGGCTTGAACGAAGGCCGATATATGTTGTGTTGTCAATGAGGTAAGAGTTTAATGGCATCGTTTCGTGGAACTTCCATGTTCAGAGAAGGAAAGTCAGTTTCCATTCGGTGATCTAATGTGGTAACGGGTTCGAGCTAACTTCATTGCATTGCCTCAATACCGTTAGCTGGCAGGGACTCTGGCAGTTTACTGCATATGGATGTGCTTTCTGCATGTCCTACCTGTCCTGCCGCGTTGACGTCCAGTGGCTTTAGCGACAGCGTTGCCCATTTCCGCTGCAGTAAACTTAGTGAAGTGAGCCAAGGTTCAGGAATATGGACAGCATGTGTAAGTAAGAAACATGAATCACACGGAGATGTTGCCTTTTGTAGAGATATTTTCCGATGTTGCGAGTATGTCTTAGTTGTGAGTAATTTATGACACCAGGGGTATTTTGCACGGACGCGTACTCAAGAGAACATTGAAGCTAACAACACAAGTTTAGAACAGACGGAGACCCTTACGGGTGCACAACCGCGTCCACATGTCTCCCTGAACTTTGAAAGTAGGACGTTCTGCTGGTTTATAAACCGCAGCTGGTTTATGAACTTGGGACCGGTTCAGTTCCCACTCCTTCCCTATAGCCCATTTGTAGGCCGGCGCGACGTTTTAGCGTTCGCACAGGGCGTTTCAGTATTATGGACATTGCAGGCTTACGGTCATCCACACCTGCCGCCGGCGTGGCTCGTGAGAGAGACTTTGGTGGTTACCGGCGCATGCTATCGCGCCACAACTTCCAAACTCAATGCTGACATATGTTACCGTCGCAAAGGAAGGATATTAATCAACTGGGCCATGAAGCGACGTACAGTGCAAACGTCTTTGCGTATGACAGTGAGTAAAGACAGCTAAAGAACAAGGATGCTTCGTACCCTTTGCCTGCCGGTTAAGAACCAAGTAGGGATCGTGTAATCGCAGTTAACATCTGGGGATGCAATGTTCATCATACAAAGCAAGCGTTTGCCAGATTTTGGCCAGCCTGAAGATATCACTTAGTCACTCTCACAGATTGAGAGCGGGTAGAGGACGTCACATACTGCGGTATTCCTAAAATAACCTATGGCATGTACGCAATTCCATTTACGCTTTTAGACGCTTCCTGGAAAAAGTTAGGTAATGTGAAATGATCGTAAAACTTATTTCACTGCGTTCGGTTAAGCACTTCTTGGCAAGAATGGGTGCCTGGTACGTTTTATTTCTCTCCCTAAAGGGACTGCGCCTGCCCCCAATATGTCAGTTTAAGCATAACAAACTTATGATTTAAGAGAAAATTGGATGTTTTAGCAAATTTAGAGCAGCCGGAATTACGCCACGTTTCCGTTTGCCATCGACGGTCACCTTTGGACTGAAACCTGGATATAATACAACTACTACCATTAGGTACTGGTCTCCATTGGACCTGTATTAGGGCCAGGGTGTGAAAAAATGCCTTTTCTGACACCGACGAAATTTTGAACCGTGTTTGCTGTCACCTGGAGCCAAATCTTGCAGTAACCATTGCAATATAACTAAATGTCATACACAACAAAAAAGATAAATGAAATGTAATGCGGCATAACCATCAAACCTTGTGTTCCGAGAGTTCATTTGCACTAAAGTATCATTTCCTGGTTTTCAAACACTGACTGATGATTGCGAGAAAAGTAGTAAAAGCGTCAGATGAAGGCATGCTTTACATAACCAGCCTAGAGGCGTGTAGTTTGCTTTTCAGTTGGGGTGGGGGTGTTGTGGGGGTGGATTGCCCCCCCCCCCACACACACCAGGGATGTGGTTTCCTATTTTCAGTTATAATGTTTCTTTTATTGTTCGGTGACCATAATGTTTGAGGGACCAACCGCAAAACTAATTTTGAGAGACTACACCCCTGCTCCCAATACTGGAAAGAAAGTGCCTTAAATCTGGAGAGAAAACCGTTTCAGGTGTATTTCAGAGGCAGGCTCAATCATTTTTTTTCCTACTCCCCGCCCCTCTCTCAACCCCATGCATTTTGCAAAACTTTGTCCCCGTACCCTTACATTTACAGACAGTGTGGTTCGACAAGCACCTGAGAGCAAAATATTTTTGGTTTTCTGACGTCATTGTACAATCATCTGGAAGCGTTGGCGACCTTCGCTATCTTCGCATTACCATTGCCGGTGCAGAACTCGCACTTGCTAACATGATCCCAATTTATTAGTGCAAAATCCATACAGTATTGGTATCAACAGATGGAAACGACATTTTGGAACACCTTTAGCACCTTCATTAAGCTTAATATGCAATATGACAGCGATTAAAAGCGCTTCATCTCACGCCTGTCTACCGCTCAGTACGCTAAGTCGGAAGTACAGCGGGCAATGTGAGGCCTACGCCAGCGGTGCTCGGCCTCTTACCTAAAAGCCACTATTCCTCTCAGCAGCAATGATAAAGTGGGATAATAAAGTAGGTAATAAAGTAATGACGTGGGATAAATCCTTGACACGAGTCGCTCCAACCTCCTCCGTTTACCTCTGAAGCTACAGTGCGGGTATCCAGAAACAAGTCTCAAGGATCGGCAGGGCTTTTTTAAGCTATTACCAGGGACACCCACCAAGGTTGGTCCTAAGAAAATCCAAACAGCACCTCAAAAGACTGTCGATTAGCTACGTTCTTCGAGCCAGTCATTTTCTCACAACATGGACACAACCAAGGGCAACCCACAGCCTTGCACTGAGCCCGAAACGCCGCGTAGCAGTGATCACGTTCGTCGCAAGAGGCTTGTAACCAGCTAAGATTTTCACGACTAGTAATAGACGTAGTCCTATAGTATTCTATACTGTTTAATATGTAAAGGGAATCTTGGCTGAACAATCTGTGAAAAACAC